TTCTGCACTGCAACTATTGAAGTTAATTTGTTATTTCTTTGGAATGCCACACATACTTTAAGAGCATATTTATTATCTTCCTTTTTAAACCAAGATATTTCAATACACAAAAGCCGTTGTTTTATTTAAATCACCACCGGCAGTGCTATTTCTCTCGCTCGACTTGATTTGCTTCACCGCGACAAGGGTTGTTCTAACATTTAAATACCAAAGTGTACGAAGCGGTGCCTTGTCACCAAACTGCGAGTTCTCGAGTAGTAAATTTATGTACTTGACATTAGTCGTTTCCATTCTAATTGTCTTTCTCACTCTTGTACACTTGCTCATTGGCTCTCCCTCTCTTTCGATCTGTTCTTTGCCATACCTATATTTCGCTGCTATTTCGCTGCAAGTTTTGAATTTAAGGATAGATATCACTGCATGCAGAGGACAGAAAATGCCCCATTACTTTGCAATAGACGACCGTTCATCAGCGCATTTCCCTCTATTCCCTCTATTTCATATCTGATTAGAATCTAAGACATTTTATTGAGAAGAGGACGATTTACATTGCATGTAAATCATTTGACACAATCATTCAATAAAATAAAAACTTAAATCCTCAACTTTTTATTGAAAATCTTGGGAGAGGAAAAAGTTTCTTTTCATTTCTTTATCGTTCAGTTCAGCTGACGTAGTTGACCATTTGCAAGAATTTTTTTAAGACTTTTCGCATCCAATAATTCATAGCAGTATGACACTGTACTAACTGAAGCAGACGGTGGAAACGTAAATCGATGTGATTCCAGAAGAGGGCTGCTTTATGACCAACCGAGATGAGTATACGTGATCAGACTCGATTTGGCCCCTGGCGATGCCTGGCGAGGCGGTTTCTCTTAAAACTTTTTCATTCTCCTATTTCTCTTTGTAAAGCAGTCACATTTTAGTGTTTGCCTCCACAGTGTGTGCGCTGAGAAAAATAGTTGCAAGTTTTGATTCTTCAATCACACTTCTGTGCGAGAAACTGAACCGCGAATTGTGGCGCGTACGGCGATCGATCTACCAGAGATAACCTGTCTCTGCCGCTCTGCGTATTTTCAGGCATTGTCGGCAAACAATGAAACGGTTACGGGACGCGTTAACAGCGACCATTGTCTCGTTGTACGTTGTAGTGACGCGGAGCAAAACTTACTACCGGTTCTGCTCAGTTGCAACTATTAAGCGGACTGCACCTGCTTCATCTTCAATATCTTGAATATCTTCGCGAGTCGAAATTTGAACAAAAGGGTTATTCATCAATATTGCGTGCGATAGTAATGAACGAGATTGATTGCAGGGCCTGAGCGGATGGTGGATGGCGGGAAAAGTGGGATAAACTGTTCAAGATTTGTAGACCGATTTTGAAACGGTTTGAAACTGTGCACCACTAACGCTATAGGTATGTATATGAATGGATAGCCGTTATTGGGAAACAGTTGGCAACTGGATGGGGTAGGAAGCGAAATATATTGGCGTCGCTGTAATGTGAGTCTCCTGGCCCCGATCTGTCACACAAATCACTCGCTCCAGGTCTCCGCCATGACACCCGCTCCCTTCGGTGTTCGGTACAACCACGGCGTTGTCGTGCATCACAACTGCCTGTATATACTGGCTTTTAAATGCCCGTAACATATTGTCGTTGCAATGAACGACATGTTGTCACTTACAAAATTGCTCGCATAAACTTTCAAAACTCAGTGTCTGCTCTTTAATTAAAACCATGTCTTCATACATAATACAGCTACCTACTTTTGTCTCTGTCGGCTATTTTTTTTAAATGTTGCTTAGCGATCACGATCACATGCATAGAGTCGCGTTCATCTTAAAGAAGGAGAAACTACAGATATCTGATTCAGTTTTGCAGCAGCTCAAAATGTACCAATTCCGAACGACACCTGCTACTCTTTTTGCTATGCTGTCATTTAGCTCGTTCGAGTTGGTCTTAGCAAGAAAAAAAATTATGAAATAAACTATTCTGTTTAAAATTTGTCCTTATTTTTATAACACATAATTATTACATACCAACTTACTAAGAGAAACTCTTATTTTGTTTCAGATACTCAGAGAGAATAGCTGAGTTCTTAAGCCAAGAATTCGATATCTCGTTGTCCTAGGCTATGATTGTCCAAACGCAATTCTTGTCTAAAATGTAAAATATCAAGAATTGTGTGGGGACATCAGCGCTCAAGGCATAAATCTCCAAAATTACTGACAACAACATTCCGCCAACTACTTTTGAAATGAAGAAACAAAAGAAATTTATTTGCATTGTTCCTCGTGTATCACTAAATTTAATAAAGTTATTAGTACCTTCTACAATTAGTCCCCTAAAATATAATTCTTCTTCACTGATGGGTTAAAGATTTATCGAAATTTATTTTCTTGTCAAGCTTACACGATTCTATGAGAGGATAAAAGGTAAGAATATCCACAGAGATACGGAAACGGATATGATACGAGGAGAACTGGTATGGCATAGTTTACACAACGATAAAAATTCACATAAAAGAGCTATAAACTTGAGACTCGTCGCACTGAGAGGTTATATATGACTTTATAGTTAACGGAAAAGAGAATAAGATAGAAAGATCAGTTAACTTATAAAAATTTTAGGTGAAAAGTCACAACTTTTAGTTTGCTTTTAAATTAAATGAGATAAAACTTGAGTATTTATTTAGAACAAAACTGTGCATCATTTACCTTGTCATCATATAGTGATCTAAATTGATGATCGAAATCACTCATTTGTATACCTAAACTATTAAATCTAGTAATAGTAATAGATATTCCTCAGATTTACAATGAAAGCAATTAAAACTGGTAGGCGATAATTACTTTTTTGTTTTTATTATTTTTTATTTCTAAGAGTTTTATTTTAAACTTTTTATTGCAACACTATAAAAGTCTCAGAATCTATAATAAGACTATATAGGTTTTCATTTCATTTTCATCGAATATACTCAAAATAAGCATTAAGCACAAGAGAAATTTTGTTTGACAAATTCATTTTTTTGCTCCATATTTATTAAGGTAATTATTTTTACATCATCAGTAGAAAAACAACCAAAATCTAATAAAGGAACTTGAAGATAACTTTTGGTGTCATTTTTCTCTCGTTTTCAATACTCTGAGAAATTGTAAAAAAGGTTAAACAATTTGTGACATGGAAACAGCTCGGCATCTTATGTAGGGAAAATGAAAAAAGTTTTTCCTATTCCAGAAAAATAAGCGTGAAACGCTAAAATGATCGATACTGCATCAGAAGGGAGTATAAAGGTTTTTCCTACGACTCGAAATCAATTAGATAAATTTTACAGAAACTAAAAAAGTTTAAACAAATAATTTTTAAAGACTATTTTCTTGTCACTTTATGTAAAGAATAAGTTTAAATTTTGTCAGTAAAAATTAAAAACAGTTCGCATTTTTAATACAAAGTAAATTTTCATTCAAGAAACTGTTAAATATTATTCTATATAGAGATAAAATCCTTGTAGCATCTCTTAACTGACATTATTTAATCAATAAATTTGAAATAATTGAAAAAACAAAAAAGCGAAATAATTGATAATTGTAAAATGCAGAAGCTAAAGATATTTTTAGTCGTGCCAAATAGGTTATTTTAAATAAAAAGTTATACATTTTATTTATATGTAAATACAAGAGATTCTTGTAAAGTAAACCTACAATGGACCAAAAAACATGATGTTGCCTAACTCAACTATATGCTATGGCTCATAAAACTTGACGTTTTATGCTGATGGCCAGCGTCTTCAATTATTGTGAAAAACTAATAAAAAAAGATAAAAAAAGAATGAAAATAAGGTTGTAATCTTAAAGACAAAAATGAAGAAGGAAACAAAGTAAAATTAATAATAGGTTTGCCGTTAAAAGTTGAAAAGACGCATTAGCGTAAAACAGTTTTTGCATAATAGGTAAAACTTTTGGCCAATGCACCTAGCCCCATGATTTCCTGGTCTTTATTATTTTATATTTCGTGTCTCGCGGGCCGCGAGATAACAAAAATTATACCCACGTTTCAAAGTGAAACAACCGTTAGTGCGACGGAAAACTTTAATTCGGTGGGAAAGGAAGAGGCGATTTCATCTCAATGTAAAATTTTGTCTTTCCTCTACTTTAGTAGAGAATATTATGAATATTACGCAAGAAAAAAAGTTAATTGTTATTATTTTCAATTCTTTACGTTATTTTATAGTATGCAATAGATTTTAAAGATATAATATTATAATATTTTATAATAATTTATTCCAACAACTAACATTTTAAACCTTTAAAGTATCAATTGTGTGTACATGTATAATACACACTAAAAAAAAAGTTTTACTTTCAGCCTCTTTTTGAGGCTGAATTTATGATGTAAACGGAGTCAGCCCCGTTAAACAAGGACAGACTTATGTGAAATACATGGGCTGAATTTAAGGTGTAAACGGAGTCAGACTTTTTTTTCCTGTGTAGTTATAAAATTATATATGAATTTAAACGAAATAAAAATTTTGTCAATAAAAAATTGTTAAATGTCAAAAATATGATCTTTGTGAAATTTATATCCTCTTTTCAAGGAGGGCTGTAGTTCAAATATCCGATAGGATTATATTTGTTGAGCTTAATATATAAAAATATTTCAATCGATTGTAGAGAAAACTATATATATATGTACAACATTATCAAAACATTGACAAAAATAACTTTTATAAATTTTCCAAAATTAAGCAACAGTTTGAATTCTCTTTTTCGCTAATATTTTATATATGTCGTAAAGAAAATTTATAGATATTTTATACTATCAAAATTTTTAAATTGCGTCAAGTTTTGAATACGCCATTAATTGACTTTCTTATACGAAATAGTTGCATCAATTGCAAAAAAAAAAACAGTAGACACTTATGAGAGTAAGGTTTTTTGTAATTAATTATTTTTAACTCTTAAGAGTTCAATTCTCATTCAAGTGCTTTTATTATTTTATAAAAATATTAAAATATTAGATTCAACTTGATCAGTGGAAAATAATAAATCTTAAACCAATAAACTTTTACATACATAAAATAATATATCATCGAAAATTTAGTTGTACTATTTCTTGAAAAAATAATAATTGTTCATTTTCTATTTTACCTAAACTAAACTATATTAATATTTTGACTTCTATATTTCACTAAACGATAAAATTTGAAATGTCGATAAATGAAAGTTTTTGAAAATGATGGAAACCTATATACTATGGATCAGTTTATCCTGATACAAGTTTTGTTTTTAAGCGTAGAAGATTCATTTGCCAAGATTTATTTAATTATAAAATAAGTGTTAACCTCCATGCAGCGTCGATATGAAAAGAATAGTGTCATTCTGTTGAAGCTTATATTCAGCTTGGCCCTGAAAAATAATATAACATCTCAACTACATCTAGGGTGTGCCTAACAACCACTTTAAAATTAATAGATAGATTGATAATGTTTTACATTTTAACAATTGATAATTTATCTTACCAATAATTCCCAATCAGCATCATTTACTAGAACTAAAATTCCTGGCCTTCTGTAAGTTAATTATTTACATAGACTATTAATCTGATGCTGTTAAATGTGAGCATTTCAACTATGTAAATTTCTTTATTATACTGATATTCACTTATTATTTAAAAAAAAAACCCTACATTTTTAAAGGAATTGAGATTAAGTATTTATTGTCACTATTGGTGAATCGTTAATTAATCGACGAAAAATGCGTGAAATTTGTGGTAACTGGCTGTAAGAATAAGCCGCGCTTTTTATCACAAAATCTGTGACACGCGCACTACATCTAACAATAATAAAGCAGCCATCAAAGCAACACCCTCTTTTCCAATCGACAAACTCGACTCTTTTATGCATACATATAGCAAGATTGTAATATCTGCTCAAATTTCTTTAAATCCATGATTTTGTGTCAGTACTAAATTAAAAATAATTTTTCATTTGGTTCCAATTATATGCTATTTTTTTAAACTTTAAATTCAAATATTTTCATCTATAATGTTTGTCGGTAAATATCGGTAATGTTTCTTTTACTCCAACTTATTGTATTATATGTATAATATAAATAGATTAAATAATAAACTTTTTGTCAAACTTACACTGTATCGTCTTGCATAAATAATTCTGTTCTTTCCTTCAAGAGGTTATCTCTGATCCATGTTAGCAAAAGTTTTAAAGTCCCTTTACATGTCAAACAATTAGAATGTCATACAATTTTTAATTAAAATGTAGAAGAATAATGATACTTACATTCAGAACCAGGTAAGTCTATTACATATTTCTTTTTATCAAATAAGAATTCAGCACCGCCTCTGAAATATTTTCAACAAATCAATTTTTTATTATCAACAAGGAATTTCATTTATAAATGAATAAATGAATATAATTGTTCGATGAATTATTATTACTAATGTTTTTACCCAAACTCAAGATTCAGTCGAAGATTTTCATTATTTGAACACATATCTTTTAAATATTTTATTTTATTGAATAAATGTGAATCCAGTGACTGACAAAATCAGAAAAACATGTCATTCGTTATTTATTTCTACACACCACCTGCACACTTACTTGTTGTAGTTGACATTGTTGATATTGTTGTACAGGTTAAACCATGGTTAAACAATTAATGAAGATTTAACCATAAAGGTTCCTTCGTTTCGTGCTACGTGTTGCGCCTGAACTAATGGTGCGATCACAGCTCGACTGCTTGCGCAGGCAGCCGCGTTGTGAACGCTCCATAAGGGCTAATGCAAAATGAAATAATGAATACGAATACGTGAATGAGCACAAGAAAGAATAGGACATAGACAGTTTCTGTCTATATTACTATATTATGTAAAGAACCGCTTCAGACACCATGTGAGTGAGAAAGATGAAAACATATCTCTATCTTTATCAGTTTCATGATTCCTGCTTCCACCAACGCTTTCAGGCTGTGTTTATATGCTTGCGTTTTAACGGTTTTAACGAACGTTTTTGCGTTTTCATATACTTCTGTCCTTGTTGTTATACTTATTGCTCAAGCGTAAAGGTGCAGTCACATGGCATCGTGAAACGGAAAATATTTAGCCAATTAGAATGATTTCCATTGAATCGGAAGTTCCTAGTGGCATGAAACGTCACCTTTAAGGTGATTCCAGAATAATACACCCAAAACATGAAACTTTCAAGTGAAATTATTGTTTTATAATACATATGACAAAACTATCATTAAAACATGATTTAAATAAAGATTGTTTCCACTACCGTTTTATTCTAGAATGTATGCAGACCACAGCTTCAAAAAATCGATGAAACTACACGTCGCGTCCATTGTAGAAACAACCTAATGCCGGCCGCTATACGTATACTTATAACTTATGCACATGTAATAAAAGTTGACAAAAAATAAATTATTTCTATGATAATATTGAAAGTAATTAATTGAAATTATTTTAAAATTATATAATTTAATACCAAAAATGCTTCTTGCTTAAAGTTTAAGCAATAAAATATGTAGAATTTCTAAAACGGCAAATGAAATTGATTGTGCTCATCGTGCTCATAATTCCGCTTAAGCGGAACACCGGAATTGGAATTGCACAATGGCTGAAATGGTTTATATGTCGAGTGCGGAGAATAGCGCGCGATCGGTATTTTCAGTAATTTAATATTTTTATTCATTGTGTTTTTTTTCACGAATTTATATGTTTTTCATCATTCTCGTAGATTCTTTAATAAGTGATCTAAAATAATTAAGGAAATCATTATGTCTGAAACAAATGAAATAGTGGAGAAGCCTCCATCAGAGATACCACTGCCAAAGCCATTAGGTGAGGAAAATGATGTTACTGATGTCTCTGTAAATGAAGCAAAAAGAGACTCTGACATTTCAATGTTGGAAGATGAGGAAATGCCAACTTACAGTACCATTTCTAATTCCACAAAGCCTAATAATTCAACTACAAATTACAATCAAAGAATGAATGATGTTCCTATGGAAAAAAGTCGCTCTCAAAGTCCAGAACCAAGTGAAGACCAGGACAACGACGATAACGAAAGTATATACGTCGTTTCATCTACAGCAGATACCGAGCGCAATTTCGATGATATTGATGAAGAAGAAGGAGATTATGATTCAGAAGGTATAGAAACTTTAAGTAAATTATAATTTATATTTAAACATAATAATTTTATTGTAAAAGTGTGCTCAATAGTCTCTTTCATTTTTATAACCTTTATTCAGCAGTTTCTTTAAACAAACTTTTTTTCTTTTTTTAATTAGTAAAGTTAAATTTTATGTAATAACGAATGATTTACAGAAATTAATGACGACGATGATGATGATGAGGAAGATGAGGATGATGATGAAGACGATGAGGACGAGGATGACCGTGGAGGGTATAATAGAGAGTGTTTCGATAGAGATTCAGATGATTTTGAACAAGACCGATTCGAAAGAGCTTCTGATGATTTTGTACTTCGCCATAAAAACAATTTGAAACAATATTACAAAGAGAGGAGTTTATCTTTGCAAGATTTAACAGCAACAGATGCTCGTTATAGTCGAAGGCAAAATTTTTCCCGTCATCCTTACTATGAAGATCAGCCTATATTCAAACCAAATGTCTACAGTTCTTATGCATTAAATTCTAAACCGTACCAAGTAATTGATAAGTACGAAAACAGTGAGAGCAAAGTCAAGCGCTACATTCAAAATATGAAAGAGCAGGGAAGAGTTTATAATGTTCAAAGTCAAGCTAAAGTTAAAGGTAAATATAATTAATTACTTTTACTAATTTTTAATATTTTTTAAACATTATTACTTTAATGTTGAGTTTTTAATTTTTTTAGATTTCAAGGAAGATAATTGCAAACAAGCTGCAGGTGGAAAACAAATTAAAGAATATGCTAAAAACGTTATACAAAAATTAGAACAGGATGAACTGGACGAAAACAAAGTTCCAAAGTATGCTACATTAAAGGCTGTGGAAAATGTTGAGAAACGTGAATCTCTAAAATTACCCTCAAAGGGAATCTCCACTGATATGCATATTCCTATGGAAGTAGAACATTCTCACATCAAGAAGCAAAGTAATAATTATAAGAAAATTAATGGAATTATTGATTTCGATGAAGAATCGGAAATTACTTGTACTCCAATCATAAAAGAAGATGAAGTATCCGCACGTCAAACAAATGAGCAACTTAATGGCAATGAACTTTCGAAAAATGTTATAAATCTCAGAACATTGAGTTATGAAGAGTACATGCGAGGAACTTCTCAAGTAGACGAAGAAAATGATGTTTACGTTGAAGATTGTGGCAGAGGTCGTGAGGAACGTGATGATGAAGAAGATAGTGGTAACAATGATGAAGAAGAGGATGATGATGACGCAGAAGTAAAATCAAATGAAATTTGTCTGATATCACCCGAGAAAACTTCATGTGATACAATTGTTTCAAAGCAGAGTTGTGTTAATACCTCCGATTCAATAAAAATAAAAAGTATTAAATCTAATTTCCACGATGAAATTAGCGTGTACAAAGATAAAAATCACATTAAAATGATTAATCAAGCAACTGAAACAATTAAAGTAGATAATTCTGAGTTTAAAAAATTACAAGTAACCCTCACTGAAAGAAACACACAATTTGAGAGTTTAAAAGTTGCGTATCAGAAAACATTACAGGAAAATCTTGCTATGAGACAAGAACTCGATAGTTTAAAGAAAATGTTAAAAAAGTACGAAGAATACCAGAATCGCGAAACAAAATCTGCATCCATTCAAACAGAAAGATTTGAAAATTTAGATTCACAAAATCTTAATGAGATGGAAAAAAAGGATAAAAATCTTTCGTCAACTGCTACCTCTGCAGCCAGTTCGATTCAACAGTGGACAGAAAGTGGATTCAGTCCTTCAATTTCTATTGCACCGCCCGATGTAAGAAAAGCTGTGAATTCTGATGACAGCACTGTTTTTGAAAAAACCTCCAAGCAACCACCACACACTCTTTCGCAAGCTTTTATTACTTCGTCTCGAATTCTTCGAACGCTTTCAAATATAACTCAGAAGAAATGGAATGCCGATAGTTCATTCACACAAGATCAAGCAGCAGCAGCATTTTCCGAAGGTCCATCGTCTTCTGGCACTCCACTAAATTCCAAGAAACGTAAAGCTGCTGAAATGCTTGGAGCTCCCACTATTGAACAGCCGTTTAAAATACCTCACACTTCCATATCCGCACGAAAGAAAATAAACCAAGATTCCAGTAACGAAACGTCTCAAATGAACGGATTATCTTCTCAAAATGAAAATTATTCAGAGAATAGAAAGAACGGCGACGGAGCAGAGAAGGAGGAGGAAGTTGAAGGGGAAGAAGATCCGGCGAAAAAAGATTTAGGAGATAATTTAAAGTACTACGTTTATCAGGACGAGGAAAACAGTAAGGAGCGTAGTTTTCTCATTCAAGCAGAAGAGACTGGAAAAATTCCGAGCAAAGGAATTGTACGAGAATGCGGACCGTACCTTTTAGGGAATTTAGAAGTTAGAATGACTGAAGTAAATGGAACGATCAACATCTGGGGCAAAGAGGTACACATTCAATTTATAATTAACACTACTTGAAAGTAATTCAATTTCTTAAATATATTTTACTGTTTTCAGATTAATGTAGATTCTACGGAAGAGGAATTCAATTCGTCTGGAAAATCAGCAGATCTAAAGTCAAGCTTTTGCTGGCAAAAGACTCCGCAAACAAATTCATTAAATAACAGTTACATCACATCTACTTCTTTTAACAAGAAGTTAAAACCGCAATCGCATTTCAATGATTCAAACGTTTCCAAGTATTCTTATTTCTCTGATAATAGCACTCCAAAGTACTCTGCAGAAATGAACAATCAATCATATTGTAGAAGAAGTTCGCTGATCGCCGATGACAACTGTGGTTCTCGCCCTCATCGATTATCCTGGTCAGGATGTAAGCATTTAATGGAGGAACAAAAACATGCCTACCATTCTGGCCACTCTGATCTGGATTGTGGACGATGTAATTGCATCAACAGTGTAAAGAGATGCGACTGCCATTCCTACAACAGAGTGCAAGGGTGCTCTGAGAATTATCGGAGACATTCCTTCTCTGGTGACTCGAATAAGTTTCCAATGGAGAATCAGTGCTTAAATCATTCAAGTCACTGTTCGAAAACTGAAAGCGAAGATGCTTTCAAACATAAAACGGGTCACTGTCAATCCTCTTATGACAAAGGGGAGGATTTCCATCATCTTTCAAGACAGTGTCATTCATCTAAAGAATTGTCACATTCCTGTAATGCTAAAAATATTGCCTTGCATTCCGAATGCAGAGATCATCCCTCAAGTGGCTGCTGTCAGGATCGAAATTTCACCAATCAAAATGAAGATCATTTTAATTCTACGCGACAGTCGCTTGAACAAATGGAGGTAATTGCTTTTTTTTTGTAATTACATTTTACTTAAAACTATAAATTAAATTTTTCATAACTATAAAACGTGAAGATAACGATAACGATAATGATCGATTTCTTCATGTTTTATAATAATTAAAGATGACCGAGTGATAAAATCATTTATAATTCAATTATTATTTACAAAAATAATTAACTAAAATTCTTCTTTAAATTGATTATTTTTAATAATTTTCGAAAAAGTTCTTTGACAGTTTTCAAATCCATTTGTTTACAATATTCCATTTTACGAAATTTCAATTATTCGTAAATTCTTCAATTAACTAAATATTAGAAAATAAAAACTTAAAATAATATTTAAAAAATTCAATTATACTTTTTCAAAAACATTAACTTCAAAATTCAATTGTGCCTAAAAATTCATATTGCTTTTAATATTCAATTATTATTATCTGAAATTTTAACTGAAATTAATTTTTAAATCAATTCTTATTAGAAAATTCAATTCCCATAAAGAATCGTTATCAACAAATTTTCAAATAATTGAATTCTATCAACGAATTTTAATAAAATTTTTAAGAATAATTACATTTTTCGAGAAATTTGATTAAAATTGTATTAATAATTGAAATTTTGCGATCAGTTTTATTATTTGTGAAAATAATTGTTGAATTATTAAGAAGAATTTTATTACATACTTTTAAAGAATATTTAATTTACTCTTGAAAATAATTAAATTTTTGCAATAATTTGTAACTTTTACAAAATTAAATTTTTTTTCGACTTTTTAACTAAACATCTTCTATAAATGCATTATTATTAATAATTTTTGAAAAAGTTCTTTAAGAATTTTCAAATTCATTTGTTTACAATTCAATTTTACAAAATTTCAATTATTCGTAATTCTTCAATTAAATTTATATTAGAAATTAAAAACTTTAAATAATTTCAAAAAAAGGTTCTCAAAAAAAAAATTAATTCGACAGAATTGTTAGTTAAAAATATGAAAAATAAATTTTCAAAGATTTTAATCCGAAATCTTTTCAGAATTCAATTATTTCCAAAAATTTACGCTCTAATGCTTTTAAAATTCCATTATAATCTAAAATTTTAACTGAATAAATAACTGAATTCTTTTGACGAATTTGAATAAAATTTTTAAGAATTTTTTCGAGAATTTTATTAAATTTGATGATGAAAATAGTAGATATTGAAAATTATTGAATTGTGGAAAATTTTTGAAAATAATTAAATTTCTGCGATTATTTGTAATTTCTCTAAAATTATCCAAACTATATCGTACAATTTACGACCTTTTCATCCAGACATTGTAGAAATTGGAATTTGAATCCAATAAACTGTTATTTACCTTTATTTAATGTTGAATTATTTTTTAGGCTCAAAAAAGAAGACTCAGTGGTAAAAAAGTGCGAACTCTTTTAATGGATTTATTGAAGGGATGTGGAGACTGTCGAACTCCAAATCCTGCGAATATCAGTAAACCAAACATTGCTGGTCGAGATTGTAAACCAGAGATTATCGTGACTCCCTGTTCACCACGAGCTTCCTACTCAAGCCAGAATCAGTCGATGGAAAAGTAAGTTCCTAAATATTCAAGACTGCCTAAAAGACATTTCCGTTAATTTCGAGTAATTTCGGGGTCTATCTTTTTTAAGAAACAGGTGTTGCGACACTTGCTCTCGACGAACTGAAGTGACTGCCGAAATTGAAGCCCAATTAGAATTTTTTCGTATTGAAATGGAAAGAGTTCGCTCGCGTTCCGATGCCCTACTGGATAAGCTCAACATGCTGAAGTCCGCAGATAATAATTAAATTCAATTTTTTGTTGCGCGCATTTTTTTATGTATATAAAAGGCTTTCATTTTTTTATGCAAATTATTATAAAAGTAAATTTAATTTCTTTTAGTTCTATTCGTTTATCGCAATTATATGTAGTAAGTAATGGTGAATTTATTAATAAAGCGTACACATGTATGTATTCTACTTTGAAGAGTACTTTGTTATGTGTGTATTTAAAAAAATAATTCGTACAAATTTGCTAAAGACACTGGAATTTGAAAATTTCATAGTGAACTAAAATTTTATAACTCTTTGTTATAATGTGCAACTAGAGTGACTTTTTCTTTGAAAATAAATTAATTTTGAAAATATTAATAATTGCAATCGCAGGAATCGAACCCTTGACCAGTAGTTTGTGGTTCGCCAGGCGAGAATGTGACTGGAGCCGCCTCTCCTTGGCCTTGTGCACTAAAGATATTACTATAAGAAGTTTTCAAGTAATTTACGTGGCCCTGCAACGACGTAATGCGTCCCTGAGCATGTTTAAAGGCTTCATTCAAGTTATTGATTTGACCCTGCATCTTCTGTCTGATCTGTTTACAGGAGAATATTAGAAAACTAATTAATATAATTACAGAATCAACAACTGTGTACCTCGTCTCTGTCCTTCTGTGCAGCTCTTGCTGTTGCTCGACATTGGGCAAGTTGTCTTTCCATTTCCGATATTTGGTTTTGCATCGTTTTTCTCATCATTTCACTTCTTTCTTTAGTTCTCGACACTTGCCTTGCTGAATCTTCTCTTACCTAATTGAATATTAAATAAAAACATACAATTTTGTTAGTTTTTGCAAGTAAAACTATTATGTATTTTAGAAAAATTAATTACCTGTTCCAGTAAAGATGTTAATTGAGCGACTTCGTGTAATTTTTCATCAATACACTTTTTAAGTTGAGTTTCCTGTTCTTCAAATCTAACTAAAGAATTTTTGAGACGATCATTTTCTGTTCTTAATTCGCTATTTTTCTTTTCCAATTCGTCACATTTTCCTGACCCTTCACCACAATCTCCCTAGAAAAAAAAAATAGTTGACAAATATTAATTTAAAGAATTTTTATTTTAATCTTGTATTTTTTATTCTTACTTGTAGAGTAATATTTTCACTGCGAAGTATGTCCATCTCCTTCTGAATGCTTTCTATTTTATCTTTGTAATCAAAAATTTCTCTAGACAAATCATCACAATGTCTCTCGGATATTTGACGCAATTGCTGAGATTCTTGCAGTTTCAATTGAGTTTGCTTTAGAATGTCAGGCAAGGGCGCTAATTCAGCAAGTTTGTCTTGAAACTGATTCTAGAAATATATTATTTCATGGCATATGTATTTTTTTAAAATATTTGATTTTTTAATGTCAATACCTTAACGCGTCCGATTTCTAAAGTTACATTTTCATTCATTCTAACGTTATCCAATTCCATAAGGTCAAGTTGATGTCTCTGCTCTTCAACTTTTTGCTGAGCCTAAAGATTATTTAATATGTAATCGCATACTGCAATCGCATTGACTCAAAAGTATGAAATTGTCAAACAAACCATTAGATATTTATTTCGATAATCTTCAAGTTGAGCAGATTGATCTTGCGTTAAAGATCGTAATTCGTCAAGTTCATCTTGAGCATCTCTGAATCTCTGTTTCGCCACTATGAGCGCCTGTTCTTGTTCAATCATTTGCTCTTTATTACCTGCATTCAAAAACTTGTATTATTTTTAATAATGCAAAAATTTACGAGAAAATTAACGCTATTTTCATGTCGTGCATACCGCTCAGTTTGTTTTTTTCAATTTCTAGAACCTTTAACCTTTCTTGCAAGTCAATCAATTTATTTTCTGTTTTAGCTTTTTCTTCTTTTATGTCTCGGGTCTCTTGTTTCATTTTTTCTGCATCCGAACGAAGACAAGAGACTTCACAAAGTTTACTTTTGTAATCGTCTTGGAGACGAGCGTATTGTTCCTTTAAGTCGCGTAACTGCTGTTGATTGCATTGACTCACACTCTTTGTCGACAATAAATAATCTCATTATTAATTATTATAAACATGTGCTCTAACTTTGAAAATGGAAAAAACTTACTGGGACACTATTAAGACTGCAACCTTGGTTTACATCTTGTGAAAGATTCATCTACAGGGAAAAAGTGATCGATAGCAAAGTAGAAAAAAATATAATTATGTCTTGTTGAATTTAATAGTTACTTTAGTAGGCAAAAGTGTATTTGCACCATTTTGAAGGCTCGGCGCACAGGGCGCACAGGGAGCACAAGTATTTAGTGATTGGAAAGCTTTAGAAATTGGTTCGGCAGCAGTTGGATTGCAAGAACATGGGACACAAGGACCTGCACATTTGAAGAGTTTTCGTTGCTGATCCAATTGATTTCTTTCACGCTGGACATTTATTAGCTCCATTTGCATTGTACGAACTTCACTTTCTATATTGCCCAGTTGCTCTTCCTGAAACAAAAGTTTCATCCGATTTCAAGTTTTATTTTTTCATTAAACATTTTAAAAAGCAGCAAAACCTACTAAATTCTTTGTGTTTTGTCCATAAATGTTACTCAATTCAGCAGGACACGTTCCTCTGGACAAAGGCCTTGGTGAGGCAGAAGCCTTTGTATCGCAGGGAGAGAGACAAGACATGTTTCCTCTTAATATGTTGTTTTCCAAATGTTCATCTACACCGCCTCCAGAAAGTCTTGATGCACCTTTGACACAAAGCATAGTATTCTTTACGAATAGCACTTCAAGTGATAGTGATAAATATTAATAAAAAAAAGATTTTTCTCACCAGTCAAGCAGTCTCCAACATGATCTTCGAGACAAAATCTGCAGTAACAGGCTCTGTCATTCAGTTGGGTTATACTATTGTAAGGGTTTTCTGGTAAACCTGCTGTCAACAAGGGCGACGACACACTACCTCCAGGACAAGAGTAGCAGCAGGATGGTGTAGCAATTTTGTCATTCAGACAGATCAGTTGACGACTCAGTTCACTATTCTCTTTGACGATTATTCGCATTTCAGCTTGCAGACCACATACTTTGCGTTGCAGAATGTCTACAGCATTGTCTTTCTCCAAAATAGCCTCCTCCAATTTATACCTTCAAACAAATTTTCCACTATCTTCTAATTATTCTTTAAAATTTCATTTACAAATTACACATTAATTTCATTTAACCAAATTTTTTAAAAATGAATATTTCAATTTCAATATTTTAATATTTTCGAAAATACTATTTGAGATTTGCACACTTGAGAAATTACGTGATAAAGTACAAGAAATTATTTTTTCCTCTTAATTATATTGATATTTTAAAAAAACAAAGTACCTAAATAAATACAAAAAAATGTCAAAAGTCTTATCATAACAACATATTTGAGTGATTTACAATCTTCAAATGTTTTTTACGATACTCGATTGTCATATTTTAGTACTTATTAAATTATATTGGAATAATAAAAAAAAGTACTGGTAACAAAGTATTTTCAAGTTAAAAATTTATGATTGATAATAAATACTTTCTCTAATGTGAAAAAGCAACATACTTTCCACCTTCGAGCTTGGCATTTTCTTTGACCAATTTTTCTTGCATAATTAAGGATTCGCTTAACTTCCCAGTGAGATTCTCCAAATGTGTTGTCCCCGGTCTTTTGCACTGACTATCTGCGACTACTATCTTTGGAATACAGTCCTCGGTATTGCCACAAATAATAACCCTCGGTAATCTAATTAAAATCATATCGTTTAATTATTTTTTTACAGGCAAAACTATTTATCACTCTGAATTAAAATATACTTGTCTTCCGGATACTCTGTTTTCGGTACATCGAATTCATTAACTTCTAACATATCTACGAATTTCTCTTCTTCAGGCTAAATAATTTCATAATTTATGTTCATTATGTATCATTTTTTATTTTCTGGTTAAAAATTAATGAAATTTGATTGAATTTACTTCTTTGTTATGGGGATAAGGTAGCATTTCGAACATTTTTGCAAATGTGTAACTGGATGGATCACTGAGGCCTATTATTCTTTGGACTTTCCTTGTCATTTCGTCAAGTTGAGCTAATTTCGTATTAATATTGTCCTGCTTCTCCGATAACAAGAGTGTATCTTCTTGAGACAAGTCAGATTTCTGTCGAAAACAATGTAGCAATGTAATATGTTTCTTTAAATGTTCGATGAATTTGAAACTTACATTGATAAGCTCAAGCATTTCTTTTTTTAATTGTTCTATTTCTTCTTCGATAGTAACGCAATTCTCGTATGCACCATTCATCTCGTTCAGGACTGCTGAGTCAGTAAATGGAATAGCACTCATAATTGAATCTCGATTCTGCCCGGGTTTTATAGGAATCCCTTTTACAATAATAGAAAAGAATATTTTTTATTTCTAAAAGTGGAGTAATAGTTTTTAATACTTGAAAATAGCCAATTTTCAAACTAGAATATTTTAACAGTACCTTCACCCAAGTTTTGAGGCATAGCATGTTCTGGTGCTAGTATCTTGAGCTCTATTAAATCTTCATTCTCATTTTTTTCCAACTCCATTGCCTCTGACAATTTCTCCACAGAGTTTTCATTCATTGTTTTCGGAGCTTCTTCTATTCCTTCAAAATTTTCAACATTTTCTGTCAATTCTTCAGGTATGTCAACAGATTGTTCTTTACTTTCCATTTTTCTGAAAATTCTCAATTTTTATATTCATTCTTAGTTCTTACACAAAAACATAACATTTTTTTACTTACTTCAACGAGTTTGAGGTGAATACGAAAGAATTTTCACTGGATTTTAAAGAGTAACTTGCATCATTCTCTAGTACTTCTGCATAGACTTTTATTTTTCTCACACTCTCATTTAAAGCATCCAAGTGATTCGACTGTTTAATTCAAATGATTGATAATTTAAATTTTAGATTACGTTTGTCCTAAAAATTCAGAGCATGTTTATTATAATTTTTGAATGATAGTTATACCTCAGGAATAATATTTGGTTCGAATTCAGAAGTTATGCAATTATTCAAAAATAAAGGACGTAAACTTGAACAGTCAAATGACAAGTTAATAAATTTCTCTGTCGTTGGATAATTGTTTAATAGAGATGATTGTATTTCTGGTAAAGTTAATGGCTTTCTCAAGTCGAAGAGAGATTCTAAAGAATCAAAATCATCATTTTTTAAAGTAATATTTTTTTTCTGCTTTGAAATTTTTCCTTCTCCCTGTAAACGATGCCGCTTCAATTCACATTGACTTTTACTTTTTGTAAATAAAGATTGATTGCGTAGAGATCTCTGGGAATTCTCTAATAAATAAGAGTGAATCTTAGCAAAAGGTCTTCGTTTCTGCAATCCAAATTTTATTATTACTAAATTATTAAACGTAAAATCTTTATTTATTTGTTTTTAATATTAATCATAATTTTAAATAAGAAATAAAACAAAAATTTTAATAAAACGTCACTATTTCTTTGAATTAAGACGAATAAATATTAGGGATCTTTATTAAAATTGTCATTACTTCCATAAAGAATTTTACCTTCATATTTTACCTTCTAAAGAAGTCTGTGTTTAATATTATTTTTACAAATTTTATTCAAATTTGTTCCTTAGCCAGAATTCCAAGTTATAAATTATGTTGAAAATTTGTGTATAATTGTTATTTTTTATTATATTTTTATATAAATTGTCGAAAGCATATATTCAAACTTAAAAATATGGTAAAAATTATTTGGATTTACGGAAGATTAAATACAAACATGAATTGAGAGTGACATTAACAAGTGACTGTGTGAGAAAAACGAAAATTTACCATTTTTTAAAATAGGTATTTATTAATTATTTACCTAATTTGAAAATATATTTTTGCATAGTAAGTTATAGTTAGAATTTGTATAATAATATAAGAAACAGCAATTTTATAATTTATACTTATTTATTATTTATATGTTCATAATTATTATATTTATTAACGTAATTTATTATAGTTTTCATAAATATTCTCATAAAGGTATAATCACACCTTTGCATCTGTACACTTGTGTGTAAAAGGTGTAAAAGCACCTTTAAGAAGAATAGTTGACAAATGCAAAAGAAAATGACAGAAATTATGTCCTTTTCTTTCCCGTATCCGTATTCATTCTGCTTTGGCCTTTAGGTTGAGTCAGGATATATTTGTCTATTGTGTACTCAACTTTAGCATCAATCAGATGTTACATTTACTTGCTCATTGTGGACACAACCTTAGCCCTGTGTTTACGTTGAGCAATGAGCGTAACAAGGATAGAAATACGTCTGTATTTCTCTATCTCATTATTCAACACAAACGCAACTATCGAAGAATATAAACACCGCCTGAAGGTAAAAAATAAATTCGCCAACTTTTTAAACCTCAAAAGAAAGAAAGAACGATACATTTATTATTTATAAAATAATAAAAATAAATACAAATTTTAATATTATATAGTTTAGCATTATGTGTATGTACATAGAGCAGGAAGTTCTAACAAACTTTATTATTCTTCAATCTGGAGATATTATATCCGCAGCAACTCATTCACATGTTCCGTTTGGACAATACAAAACTTTTCAGCAACAACAAATTGGTAAGTTTACTTAATTTCAAATAGTTAAGAATAATTGTCAGCTGAAAAATTAATGTTAACAACTGCATAAGTTATCTTTAAAAGTACTTTATTTTTATTTAATGGCCCAGAACTGAATTTCGTTTGCATAATATTTACTTTAATTAAATATTGTCGACACTTATAATTATTTAAATTAAATATTTGTTGATTTTCATTTTAGACGCAACTATTTTATTTTACATTTAATAATCACTAAAACTTGTCTTCGTCTCTATCAAATTTTTTTCAAGAAAATGATAACTGTTATAATATAGTTTAATACAAAATTTTTAGGATTTTCATTAAAAGAAAAGTAATTGTATATTTTTTTAATGAATGTTTTATTATTTTCTTGTATAACTTCTAAGTAAATTATAATTTTTGATCATTTTCTTTGGACCAACATTAACGAGTGTCACCTTTTTGGAAAACATTATCGCAGTTATGTAATAAATACCTTTAAACATACCTAAAAATATTTAGATATATTCATTATTTCAGAAATAATGTTAATTCGATTATTTTCTTTTTTTTAAGGCTTATTTTATTAAACTTTAGAGCCTTAAAGAGAAAAATTTTAATGAATATATTTTTGAAAAAATAAACAATTTTTTGTTGTTACAAAAAAATATTGTTCACGCAACTTGTATTAGTAGTGTATAAATTTACACATAAATGAAAAGAAATTAAATGGGCAGAGTACTTGTACAACCTGTTAAATAAGAGATAACTTGAATAGTCAAGTTTTAAAACATAATTCAATAAAATTATATTTACACATTTTTCTGAATCCCAAAAATAAAGCAATAAAAATAATAAAATATATTATGGGAAAATAATTAGTTTTGTAAATTGCACTGACGCATATCCGAGAATAGAATAAAATTTCATGACACTGGCCCTGAATGGTTCAACGTTCTTATAGTTTTACCTGAAAAATAACTTAATTCCTAAATTAACCTCTTGCTCATAAGAGTTGATTTCTCTGCCATTTCGGAATCCCTCATTAAAAATGAAAAATGTTTAATAGAGTCTCAGCATGTATTGGCGAATATAGTTATAGTAAGTATGTGTATGTAAACTTTTTTACTAAATATTTTTCTTTAAAACTTACTTGAAAAAATATTGTTTTAACTTTGGAATGCAAAAACATTACTGCAATTTTATTCTTTTTTAAAATTTTTTCCCTAATTCAATTCAAATCAAGTTTTTTTTATTTAAAAAGAAAATATAATTTTAGAGGGTGATTTTTATTAAATAAAATAAGATTCATATGACGTATTTAAATTGGTATTTTTATTTCAACTTTTTTCAAGTATATACATAAATAGACTAGTTTTACGATTTCCGACAAATAACATTTTCGATTCGCTGAAAGTGCTAATTGATAAATTATATAATATTACAACACAATAATTAAACTAGTTGAAATTAATTCCAATACTTAATTATTATTTATTTATTTATTTATTATAAGTGTGTGCGCAATTTTTTTTTGACAATTAATAATGAAGAAATGAGTCGATAATAGATTTTTGTCTATACGAATATTTCCTAATTTCATTTATTTAATATATTATTTATATTTAAATATAGTAGTAAAATATAAAGTCTTGAAGAAGAACGAAAAATGATATGTGTACATTGAACGCATTTTGAATTGACACTTTCACCGATTTTACATATAAACCTAGTCAGTTCTAATTCAGAATAATATAATAAGGTTATTATACATATAAGCTTAATTTAATTTAACTTACATTCATATCGTTTTAGTATCGCTTGTTTTTTTAATTTAGCTTCTTATTTATAAATAAGAAAAAATAGATACAACAGATTTCAATAAAACCATATACGCATACTTGTATTTTGAAATTTAAGTTTAATATTTTTTTTAAACGAAGTTCTCATTATAAAGAGATAAATTGTAATCAATTAAATAGGTATATGACTTTGATTTAAAAGAACAATATCGTAATAAAAAAGCGATTGTTTTAGAGACATTCATTTCTATTGCTTATACATCCCATTGATGAACATTTACATTTATGTTCAAAATAGTTATTTTCGTAACAAGGGCGCAAAATAGGTGATTGCGACGATGGCGAAATGAAGGGACCGAGGGGACACAATTTCGCGCCCGAGGCGAAGCCGAGGGAGCGAAAGTGTCCCCGAGGTCCCGAAATTTCGCCAAAGTCGTAATCACCTTTGCGCCCATGATGCGAACATAATTTTTTGTCCTAACTGCATGGAAAGTATGGCATTGAGGGCACGCACGATTAAACTCTCATATTAGTTAAAAATTAAGCTCTATATAAATATTATATCGAATGAAGTCTCTAATGATAGAAGTTTTAAAATAGAAATAAAAAACAATGTATTCTGGAAACATAGTATTTATTTAGAACGTAGTAATTAATAATTGAACAAAACTGAAACAGGAACTTTTAAAATTGACAATATTTTGATAAACGAAATGGAAACAAAACCAAATATCTCATTATTTTTTTTAGAGAAAAAAAAAATTGCAAATTTTTATAGACAAAATAAAACAAGTTGAAAATGTTTGCAGTTTTATAGTCAACATAAAAAGAAAGTCGAAAATGTCGCATTTTAATGAAGAAAATCAAATAATTAACAAGCGGGCGGTAAAGTATTTTCCGCCCGCTCGGAGGTAGGGGAAGCGGGCGGAAAATACTTTACCGCCCGCTGACGTCATACAAGCGGGCGCAAAATACTTTTCCGCCCGCTTCCTCCACTCCCGGGCGTAATGTGTTATTTTGCGCCCGCCTTAAGTGCCCGAAATGACATACTTTTCGTGCAGGTAGGACAAAAATTACTTTTAATTTGTTTTATTCTATTGTACATTTAATATTTCTTTTCAATTTAACTAAAGTAAACAATGTCAACATTGACGATTAAAAATTTTACCTAGTAATTAATTGCCAATCAAGTACTTGTTACACAAAGTATTTTCTTAGATAAAAAAATGATTAAAATACATTTTTTTAATAGTAATTTTCCTATTATTATTACCTATAGATATTATTTTCATGTAATGTATAAATTGAAATTAAATTGACACACTCAGTTGATTAGAATTAAATTTTCTCAATTGCATCGTAGATAGCAATTGTACAGTCGAACCTGACGTTAAGCAAATTCAATAGGTAACAAGGCCGTTTTCTCGCTTTTATGATCTTATTTATAAGTAGTAACTAAAAGTTGCTTCGCTTACTGAATTTAATTGTTTCATTTATTAAAAACAACTGTGTATGAAGCAGAATCTCATTTAGAAGTTATAGAGCTAAATATTTTTATGTATGTAAAAATGACGAGATTACACTTTTCCTTATATATTAGTTGTCATGCAGCTTATACAGATTCGACTGCGATTAATCAAATCTTATTATCACCCTATGCAAATAAACTTTTTAATAATTACATTATTTTATGTCCTTCCTCGTTTTAAAACCCTAAAAAGTAAATTAGCGAACACTACGCACTCTATACTACACACAGTAAAACCACAAGTCTTGTGCATTTCTATAATGAAAATTTTTCTATTTCACATATTCACATATTCTGATGTGTAGAGTTCAATATCAAAATCAACCAATTTGCCTGATTTTCATTAACAAGCAACTCATTTATATTGTATACTTATATGTATAATATGCAGTCGGGGTCCATACTTTAATAATAAAATATTCAAACATGAATTTGTATTTCTATAAATTTGTTTCTTATTGATAATCAGAAAATATATGTGAATGAATTTATAAATCAATGTTTTCATTTCGGAATAATTTAATAGAAAATAAAATGTTCTTTCATTGAAAACACGTTTAGCGACTTGAATAAAAAATTGATAAATTTCAGTTGAAATATACATATTATATGCGATCATGGAAATTTACAGCAGTTAATACCGGTGAAAGTGCAAAGCAAATATTACATCGATGTGCCATTTATCCATAGGCATACGTATAGTCTTTGGGATAAAACTAATTCACAATGTGACGTTCTCTACTTGCTATAATATAGTAACAATAATCATTATGTATATCGCTACTCGAGAATGCAAGTGTTTCATCTCCAAAAATGGACACTAAAAAAATGCAATGTGCAGGTCATTTTTAAAAAGATACAACTCATACAATACGCATATATTTGCTGTGTATGTAAGCATATATAAGATTTTGTTTTACCCGCTAAAATTTATCAATAATATAATACTTTAAAAAGTCGAATAATTGCATTATTGCATAATTTTTGTACAAGATGATTTTAAAAAACACATTTCTTACTTTAAATGGGAAGCATTTAAGAATTATTGGTACTTGCAAATTCGTAAAACGATACCTACAGCAACATCTACGTATTTTTAAAGTTATCTTTATCAATAGATATGTATAAGGGTAACCTCTGCAATACGTGACACAACTCGTATGTATAACATTATTTGGACGTTTTCATGTAAGGCTTATAAAAAACAATTTTCTTTTAAGTGACGAATCATTAATATTTTAATTCAATCGAATTACATACAACTTAATCTAGAAGAATTTAGAGTTTTCATTTCAAACATGCTATAAATAATAATATTTGCTTTTAAATTTTTTTAAAACAATTCAAAATTCCAGCTAAACATATTTAAAATGTTCAATGACATCGCTCAGGAAAATCTTATTTCATTAAATAAAAAGTTATCTATATTAGTCAAATCAAAGAATATTTTCCACATCAAATTTTAAAACAACTAAATAAATCTTTCAAGTTTTTTCTGAAGAAATTATCTTTTGAAATATAACTTTGCCCTGAGTAATGATACACACTTTACTTAACAACTTTTTTAAGCATAAAAAAAAATTGAGGAAATTTTACTAAAGAAGACTATACGTAATTAATAGTTAAACTATAGACAAAAATTTATATATATTGCACACACAGAACAACTAATAAGTACAATAAACAAAAGTTAATAAAATTAATCCAAGTAAAAAATTCATCATCTTCATGCTAATATCACAGTTGGAAGACAGATCAGGTGCGTACAATCAATAAAATAATATTATTGATATGTAATGAAATTTCAAATTCAATTCATGAAAAAGCAAGCCTAAACAACAATTTCTTGATTTTTACTTTCACTTGACAAATTTTTCAACAAAAAGTTGAAGTTTTTAAGGATATGGGAAGCTAGAAATATCTACATTTTTTCAAAAACTAAATTACTGTCTGGTTTACCCTAGCTATTTACTTTTCAAAATAAAAGTATGAATTTCAAGTTTTCCTTTTTCATTGAAATTACTCCCACACATATTTTTTTTAAGAGAAAGTAACTTGAAAAAATTAAGTAAAATTTGAATTAGTATAATTTTTACTAATTCAATCAGTACAACTAATGATTTAGTTATTTATTGCAACTTATTGGTCCAAACAGTGAAGAAAAACCGCAACATTGCCCCTCAAAATTAATTGATAAATTAATAGATTTAACTATGAATGTCATATTCTTATACAACTGATTGAATTAGTAATCTTTATTTTACTAACTATCAATTACTATCCAATTCTGCTTATAGTAATTAATTAGTAAAATTTTACTAATTAAAATTTAGAGAGCATGAATTGATTTTTACTTTCAATATAAACATAATAACGTGTTTGTGTTTTACTGATGGTTTGCTTGAAATATTAAGACGGCTTAACAGCTCTAAAATATCACGTATAGCATTCGGTTTTTAGAGTACTCTGCAAAGTTCACCCTTCTTGTAAGTATAATGTGCAATGTATATATCCAGAAAAATACTCCTACATGAAAATTAATGTATACTAAGTTTTGTATATGTATACAATAATATATAATTGTATTGTACATGCGCTAAATTATAGTTGTGTTTCTATTATGTAGTGGACCAGCCACCATGGATGTGAACAATGTATAGTACAACAGTTTTTGTCAACTTGAAATCATCTTTCATGTTCATTATTGCGAATAATGATAACTAAATCATCAAAACTATAAGTAGTTAAATTGCATGAGTATTGTTTGCATATAATATTAAAATAGAAGAATAGCAAAAATAACTAATCTTTCAAGAGTTTGAATAAAGAGCTTGAGTGATTTTTAAAAGATTCTTGATATAGATGTGTGTATTGCCAATGTATGTAGAAGTAAAACTAATTTAAGAAATCTATTGGACAAATACAAGTACCTATATCATGATGAGTTATGCTGTAAATTATTTTTGAATAATTGACTAAAAAAGAGAATAGCAATTTTGAGTGAAACATGACGCGCAATAAGTTAATTCAATGTTGTAAAGACATTTCGTTGAACTGCAGTACCTATAACATCACACATCTACACTAGCAATAACGTTTCATACAAATCATACTTTATTCTAACGACAAGAACAATGGGCAGCACATAGCGATTGACACCAACGCGATTCGACCGCGATCTCCTTAAGATCACTGATTGTGAGTCAGTCGAAAATGCTGCGTTGGTGTGTAAGTACAGCATATACACACTTACATGTTACCTATAAAAATATGCGAATCAAATTTAGGCAATTTTTAAATATTTCACTTAATTACTTCGCATGTTGTTTGGGTAAGTGTCGTTTCATGTGGAGCGCGAGGTGATCACTTCGTGCAAACGATCGTTCGCACACAGCACATTTAAAAGGTTTTGCTCCGGTATGTTTTCGATAATGGCGCGTTAATTCGTCACTTCGTGCAAAACGCCACTCGCACTCGGGCCACTGACACTGGTATGGCTTCTCTCCTGAAAGTAGAAAATTATTTATTTATTACATTTTCAGACTTGATTCTAATGTACCTAAGAATGGAGTGATTTTTATGCCTATCGTTATTTTATTTGAGAGAAAAGAAAAAAGTTACCACTATTAAGATATAGTTTTAAACTAAAAAATGTATAGAATTAGTAATTCAAATAGAAGATATTTCAATTCATGGTTCACATGGTTTCCAACTCCAACACGTATATGTATTTTGAATAGACGCCACAGTGGATACGAATAGAACTTGCGCGATTATGTAATGCCCCTTAAAAGCCAATAAAAAAAGAATCGTGATCCTTTCCAGTCGCTAACCTTCTAGTAGCGAATGCATAGTGATCTTTCACGAATATAAGTATACGCGGAGCACAGGCGTGCGACTCTAACCGAACGTTGCACTTTAAGGTCAAGACATATTAGAGAAGAGAGGAAAAGCGAAAAATAATTTTACCATATGTATTATATCTGTTGTATAAAAGAAAAGCCAACAATTTCTTTTACATCGCCATCGCTGCAATGAAAAGGAAATTTATACTTGACGGTGGAAGCAATACATTGTTTTAGTTATATAACAATTTTGTTTATAAACAAGAGTTTAGGATTGATACTTGGAAAAAATATAGTTAAGGTCTCGTTTATGAATCGATTTTTAACAAATGCAAAAAAATTGTAATATTCGAAACTTATTTGTGTTGGGTGCTTTCGGTAAAGATGTCCTTTATTCAATAGTATATTTTTCTCAGTAATCCAGTTTGTAAATGTTACTCCCTTTCAGTGAACGTTCTTACTTTCATCTTCTGATTTACACCGCGCTATACATTCATATCGGATTTTCTGGCATACGTTAACCCGCGGCGCGAAATGTCACTTGCGACCTGGGGATATAGAAACTCAACTCAACTCAACATCTATTATGGGTAAGCGAGAGAAAAACCAAACGCTCTATGATTTTTGAAGTAGCTATCGCGATATCGACTTCAAAAGGAAGTCATTAGAGAACAAAGCATTGCTCTTTGCAATCCCACTTCAAGATGCCGCGGTAACCTTTAACTGTAACCGCATATGCCGCAACATTCACCTGTAGAATAGGGAATGTCTACATGATTTTCAACGTCTTTGTACTAAATGATAATCAAATGAAAAATATCATTTCTTTCGCGATAAGACATTTTTCCGCATCGATAACGCGCAGTAGGAAGCGATGTATTTATCGCCGAGAGCTTCATGAGAAAACCCTGTTTAGAAAAATGGAGAAATAGATGCATTTTTCTGCGATTACTTCCAACGGTTAATTGGATTACATAATTGGAAATAAGCCATCGCGACCTTTTCAAAACAAAAATGTGTATACATATAAAGAAAACTATGAATGGAATCATGTTGTTTCTATACAGGTCGTAGAGTCAAACCGCAAATAAATGCTTTTTTAATATGGACAAAACATGAAGATATTATTAGACAGAAATATAGTTTAGTCTTAAATAAACGTAGTTACTAGGTTTTAATTAATTTCAATAAGTGTATTAAGAAAATAACGATCAGACATTGCAACTTGCAGAGACTAAATTGAAATGATGCAGCGTTTAAATCTCTCAACCTCTCTCAAATAGAGTTGAATGCTTAGAAAGAAGGGTGGTAAATTCTTTGCCTCGAATACGACACACACACACACATACACACATAAATATATACTACGCATTCTTGTGAGAGTTGTAGATGATAATTCAGTTTAACTGGATATTAATTAATACAAACGAAAATGAGACAGCAATTTCTATTCTTGCTCTCTCATATTATATGCTTTCAATTAAATTTCATGCGTGTTTTTTATTTTCACAATATCAATATTTTATATATTGAAATCACTTCCAAAGAGTATCTAGACCTGATTAGACAATTAATGCAATTTGCTTGTAGTACACAATGAAGGTTACGGATTCATAATTAGAACATGCATGTGTTTGTCCCAGGTAAAATAATTTCTTTGAAATAGTAACATATTTACTTGTATATGGAATTCCTATATTTCCCCTGAGTACTAACAATAGTTACTTTGGAGAAGAAAATAAATTTCTTTCAATAAAAAAAAGATATGGTTTTGTTTCAAGAAAGGTATTCCAAGTAAGAGCATTTATTTGATTTAATGAACCCTTTTTTCAATGTATATGATGAAGATCGATCAAGTTAGAAAACAAAGGCTAGAAAGAAGAAGAAGAAGAAGAAGAAGAAGAAGTTACCAAAGTTGGAAGTGCGGATCGGATTGGAATGTTGCTTGCCTCATGCCCGCCCTCGCTATACCTAGCACACTTATGCCGCGCATTCACATTTTGTGCAGACGATTTGCGCTCGCATGTGTGCGTGGAAATGAATGCTATACGTCGATCGCAAAGAGGTGAGAGGGACGAAGTATTCATTCAAGACGACCGCCGCGCCACGCCAGACCGCCACGTGCCCGAGGCTCTCAACCCGTTAACTACCAGTATTTTCATTTCATGACCAAGTCCCAATCTATCCCTTATTACTGTGTGTCATTCAACAACATTCCTCAAATTACCATCAATAATAATTGATAATCATTGTTGCTTGGCAGCAGTCAAAACTGCGCGGCAAAAACAGTATTTATTGGAGTTTTAATTATTCCCAATGTCACTTCAACATGATGGTGAATTAAATATTTATTTCTACATTTAAAAATATTTCATGAGACGGAATCGTTATTATTCATCCTTATGGAAGGAAAGTTGAGATACTTTTCTCTACACATTAATAACAAAAGCCAAAAGTAGTTATAATTAGGCATATTAAAAAACTTATCTCCTAAATCTTTAGGCACCCGCAATTCTATCGAGTGTACGATACATCAACTATAATTATCTGCTGCATAAAAGCAGAGGGGAGGTGATAATATCTTCTAATATATTGTGATGACTCTAGGAAATGAAATTTTAGATTGAACTGAAAACAAACTGATACCTTAATGAATACAATCCCTCTTCCACATTTGTTTTCATTTTCTATATCTCTATCAAGATTACATCAAACTAAGTATTTATCTAATAAAAAGATACTTTTTTATTAGTTATTCAATTTCACGTTCAAATGATATATACTAAAACTTTCTTTTGTTATCTCAAGTTATTACCTAAATTAAAAAGATGAGAGCAGTTAAATATCTTTAAATGACACTATACTATTTAACAATTCTTGCTCAACCTTTTTCTAATATACTGAGCACACAAATTTTTATTACACATATTATACTTGAGTGTGAAAAAGAGTGTTTTTTGTAATATAGGTCTTTTGATGTAAAGAAGAAATGCGATGCAAAAACGCCTATTGACAAAATTGTGTATATACATTCACTGATAAGTAATCGAGTACAAGCCATTTTAACACATCCTGTTTAATTTATAAAACATATATCTATATGTATCTTTACATTTTTAAGATAAGAGAAAACGTTTTTTAAAATATAGTATTTTCAAAGAAATGTCTGTTTTTTGAAAAGACGAAATCTGTTATTTTCTAAGAATTGTGAGTAAAAATCAATAATTATTTATTTATTTTCAATATAATGACTTTCTTCTACGATAAATAACAAAAATTTCCGTAAATTTCAAAGCAAAAACTTTCTACAAACTGCTGCGTTCTCTCCGAATTGATTTGCGAAAATATTCCAACACAGCTTTTAATTTCAATTGGCTATTTATACAAATGAAAATTATACTTGTATCTAGGTTTTTGTGAATTTAACTTTATCTTCTGTTTACATCCTCTTTCAAGGAGGATATGTGCGCGAATGTACTCAACTAAATGATCTCTACATATATGTTATACCTCTTTTATTTGAAAAGAAATTTACCTTGTTCAAATGGAATGGTACATTCGTATGTGTGTATGTATAGGTATATAATCCACTGAACCGCTAGAATTTGCATTTATCTCAACTGAAAGCGCAGATTGTTTCTTCTCGATTTATTCTTTAAAATAATGTGTGCCCTAGCAAAAATCAATTTGTAGAGTATAATATATTTTTGTCTTACTATTGTGTTTCAAATAAATTTTCTTTTCCGCGTTAGATCTTTGAAATTTTTTAAATTCAGAAAAAAGTCCCATTAAAATTTAAAAACACATATACCTTTGACTTTCAATATTTTATTGATTTTATGTATACGTTTAGAGTTAGTAAACATATAGTTATTAATTACAGTGAGTTTATTTTAAATTTATTGAATTAAAAGTTTTAAAGGTATTTTTGAGAAAACTATTATTATTATTATTTTCTCATACATCAGAATAGGAGAGTGTTAAGAATGTTCGTTTCTATACTTGGCATTTACACAGCGTTCCGAGTAAATGTATATTCCGCTCTCACAGCAGAGGTAACCACGCCCAACTTACACTTTGAAAGAACGAGAAGTTCTGATATATTCTTCGCGATTCGATGACTTTACTTTTTTTCTTTTCATCAACATATCTGGACTAAATACACCTGATTATTATAGAGCTTTGCAAATTTTGGTTTTTTTTTAAATCTCTTGGTTTAAAAACTTATATAACGGATTACAAATAAACTTTTCATCATGTTAAAAGACTTTTTAAAATATAAAATTGATATATGATAAGATGGCACACACTATCGATTCAAACTCAAGTTATATTTCGACTTCTTCTTTAACCTATAGATGAAAGTGGGCTTTATTTATCGCTAACAATTTTGTGCATATGATTCTTATTACTCCGCGGAATTTATCGACAATTATTATTATTATTATTATTATTATTACCTCATAATATTTAACGTCTTTAGAGAAATTGAGCAGAATAATATAATTGATTTGTTATTAAAACTTACCAGTATGTATTCTCTGGTGGGCCTTGAGATGCGAGCTTTTTGTGTAGACTTTTGTACAACCTGGAAGAAAGCAATGTTTTTCAAATTTTAGTTTGCTTTCATCCGTGTCATCAATCACGCATATTGAAAATCTCAGTTATATTTTAATTGGCCAATCAGTAAAAAATGAAATTTCAATAATTTTCAACTGATGTTCAGTGGAATTTCACTGATTCAGTTTTAGAGAGTAATGAGGAGACTTGATGAGTCTTGATGAGAAATGAAGTTACACTTACCAATAAAGTCGCAGTGATGTACTCGTCTCTTCTCCAATTCAGGATTATTTCTTCTGTTAAATTTAGTGATAGATTGCGACTGGATTCTGTGAGGTGCGTTAATGATGGGAGGCTGAGGGTACGGGGGAGGAGGTGTTCGCCTAGGTGGCCCCCCAAGAGGTGATCCTGGGTCGGAAATTGGCGGCGTCAGAGGAGACACGTACATTAACCTTGTCATTGAGCCATACAACGCCGACGACGTAGTGTTTGTGTTGGCTTGATGATTTGGTTGTTGTTGTTGTTGTTGTTGATGTTGCTGATGATGATTTGTTGATGAGTCATTATTGTTATTATTATTGTTGTTGTTATTATTATTGTTATTATTACTATTATTATTATTTGTGCTATTACTCGTTGGAAATATTTTAAATGCCGTCGTTCTATGATTTAAAACTACCGATTGACCACTTGCTGAATGCCTGTTGATAAAAGTGGAATTACTCGCAGGACCTTCGAGCAAATGTAATGTGGGTTCAGTTTTTATTTCCACCGGTGACAAGACGGGAGAAGTTACGTCTTCCGTTTCCAACTTGACATGCGATTGAGAAGCTAGCATGTCAGCGTTTTCAGGATCCAATTTTTGGATACTAGAGGTAATATCCTCCCAAAGAGGTGGCCTGAGGAAAACGTCGTCATCTCCGCCACCATTCGCCGTTGATTGACTACTTCTGGGAGATACGAAACTTGCTTGTGGTCGACATGCAGAGTTGCCGACTTGAAAAAAATCATCCATGTGGACAGAAGGCTCTCTCGTGTCCTTTTCCTCATCTTCAAGCTTTTGCAACCTATCGAGATCCTGTCGACACAATAGCGTATCCAAGTCCGATGTCTGAAACAAAAAGAAAACAAACAAATTAGTGTTAGTAGGTATAACTCACTCTTAACAGTTATTTCATTAATTTAATTCAAATTTACTACATATAGTTCTCCATCTGAACTAAATATGGACCTTAAATTTCTGTCTTACATTATAAATAAAACCCCAGGTACATAATCGTGATAATCTGCAGTGAGTTTTGCATAAGACATAAATTTTCTCAATACCATTGAATAATACATCAGTCAAGAACAAGTTCTACACTGAATTACTGAATTGTGGGTTCTGTTTTAAAAGTCGACATCACGCACAATTTTCAGGTCCAGGAAACTTGAGTATTTAGGGTTTTCAACTAAACAAAAGCAACTGCGCGCGAGTACTTTGAAATTTGTCAGAAAATATGCTATGAAACAATTATTTTCTTTAAATTTTGAAAAATGGAAAATTATAAATTTACGACTGTCTTTTTTCTTCTATTTATAAATTATCTTTCTATTGAAAAGAATTTGTAGGACAACAAAAGCCAACAAGTAACGCTGCATCATTTCATCTCATTTGATTTGTATATATGCGTACAACTCCGCCCTCATATTCTTTCTCTTCTTTATTTCCTTTTCTTCGTCATCCTGTTCCATTCTGGACCACAAACGACGTATACACATAACTTTTTGAATATTTTAATACACACTTGCAAACATCAAATAAAACGCCCCTTCAACATTTGACTACATGCATAGGTAAACGATGCTTATTTGCTGGAACATCCCTCGCGAATAAGGCATTATTCATGTAACCCGTAATGCATTTATTAAGCTGTCAAATATCATTTATTTATATCTAGCACGCACCAAAAACACCAAGTTTTTAAACTCGAGTTGTACCTACATACACTTTAAGTTCAATTTCTATTTTTAACATCCGAGTTGGTCCGAATTTCGAACCAACTTGATCTACGCGATATATAGCAAACTTTCATATCTTCAAATCAGATGCTGGATATTAGAGGATTTATTCTTTTTTTTAATGTAACTATAATGTTATATACATTGCAAAGTTTGAAACTTTTTATAGTAGAATAATTGTTTAAGTTCATTTCATTTTTTTACAATTTAACTTTATAAAACAGAAATTTACAAATATATTCCTATATATAGTCGTTTTTTTATTTTTGACTACAGAATTGTTTAAGTCGATTATTGCTTCATGACAATTGTCTTATTTTCGTTGCATCAATATAATAATATAGTAGAGTGCGAAACCTGATCTGTCCGACCATTATTGCAGGTAATCATAGATGCTGCTGGGTCAATCGGGTTAATAACGCGTTCTCAAATCCGTCGGGACACCCACGCCGACGCGATAGCGTGTGATGTGCCGTATATGTGAATAAAATACACCAACTTTGAAATAATATTATTTTGAGTAATATAGATAAATCACTCGGTCCGTCATTAATTTTTTTAATAATAAAAATATCAAGTTAACCTGATTCGGAGTGATCGCTAACGTCAAAGTTTTATTATTAATTTTGAGAAACGTTCTCTCTAAATTTGAATCAGCGATAAGTATACTGATTTTAATTAGCGTATTATTAACTAATAAATTATTTAAAAGTTAAAAGTAATAACTGCTTTTGACGCAAAAAATCAGTCAAGATTTTAATTATTTGTAACTGTTTCAAATTTAGATTATATTATTATTGTCAACATTTCATTTTCTGGATTTAAATAAACTTACTCAGGTAATTTATTAGTTTGAAATAAGTGTAGAGAAATATACTAGTAGTATCAAAATATCATAGTCAGACTCTGAATGATTGTGAGACTAAAACTGACTGGTATCCCTTCCGTCTGACAAAGCATAGCTACTACTACTACTATTGCTAATAAAGTAGATTTCAGAAATTTTAACCCCTGACAATACTTTTGACTCTTAAAATAAAAAATGAACAAATACAAGTTTTTCAAAGGGTGACATATTTTTTAATTCAACGATATTATAAATGTATAATTGACATGTCAAAAATATTTCTGTACACTTTTTACTCTAATTAATTGTTTCAAAAGAAATTTATATTCCACAATACATCCTATATTGTAGCTAGAGCATAATGCTTTTTCTATTGAATAGAGATGGACGTTACCGCAACCAGCGTTGAGCGTTAATGTAACTTCTATTTAATGAAAAATGTTATATTTGTAAAATTATTAAAAATGATTATAAAACTCAACCCCAGATGGTTATAATGGTGGAAATAAGAAAACTCACTTAAAACTGATTAAAATAATGATGTTAAAGTAATAATAATATTGAATAATTCAATGAGATTCTTGATGGCTAGAAACTAAGGGAATGAATCAGGCGTAAATGTTTCTATAGAGTAGAGTATTTTCCTTACTTTATGGGATCTAAGACAATATGATAAATGCAAATGTACGTCATTTGTAGCAAATAAAAGAAAGAAAAGAATTATAATGGAGACGGAAGCAGCCATTTTGTAGTCGGTAACGAAGCGTGGCGCGCAGAAGCAAGCACACTGAATCAATCTAGAGAAGCCACACCCTTTGACCTAAAGCCGCATTATCCTGATAAATATGGAGGAAATGTCGAGTGAACAATAAGCTACCGTTATCATCATTATTATATCGTTTCGATCGTTAACCAGCTTGAATCTTTATGCTTTACCGATACACGTTGGTTGAGCACAATTATAAAGCGAACCTGCCGTCCCAATACATATACTTTTATGCGAATGTAGATCTATACTTATTAAAAACGATAAATTTAACGATTAAATTTCTTTAATACTTTCCATTGATGCCCTGCCAAATGGAGAAGGAGGAAGAAAACCCGCTGTATTCATTTTCCTGAAAGTTCCAAACCAACTTGACTGTAACCTTCGGAATTTTTAGTTGCATAACAGTTTCTAATTTTTTAAACGTTAATGCAATATTCAGTCAACTTTAGCGTAAAACATTGAAAAACATTGGATGCTTAAAGAATTTCTTCAAGCTTTCATGAGCTTATTAACTTTTGATGTTGTACAGGATTCAAACTAGGTCCGTAAATCCTGTAAAAGTCCGTAAAAGTCAGTTTTTTAAAAAAAAAAAAAAAAGGCCCGTAAAGTCCGCAATTTCATTGAAAAAGCAAATTAAGATAATGAAAAATTTTAATAAAATTCTTCCCCAATTCAATTATTTTCACAAATAATAAAATTCTTCGAAGAAATTTAATTATTATCAAATTTTTTGATAAAATTCTTTGCAAGAATTCAATGATTTGCAAATTTTTTATCAATTTTTTCGCAATAATTCAATTATTTTTTTTATAAATAATATAAATTTTTTACAGAAATTCAATTATTTTCGTAAATAATAAAATTCTTTTTATGAATTCAATTAGGTTTTTTTATAAATAATAAAATTTTCGCAGAAATTTAATTATTTGCAAACACAATTTTCATAACATTTTTCGAAAAAAATCAATTATTTAAAATGATTTTTCGAAAATTCTTCGCTAAAATTCAATTATTTAACAAAATTAATAATGTTTTTCGTAAGAATTGAATTATTTTTGAAAATTTTAATAAAATTCGTTGCAAGAATACAATTTTTAAAAAAAAAAATTTATAAAATTCTTCGAATTAATTCAATTGTTTAAAAAAATTTTGATTTCAAATGGAAATTTTTGAAAATTGAAATTTTAATGAACAATTCTGCGAAATTAATTTTTTTCAAAAGGTTCAATTGAATTTTTTAAAAAGTTTTTGAAGTTGTTTATATATTTAATTGAAGAATTTTCGAATAATTGAAATTTCGTAAAATTGAATTGTAAACAAATGGATTTGAAAATTGACAAAGAACTTTTTCGAAAATCATTAAAAATAATTGTTTAAAGAAGAATTTTTGTCAAAAATTCTAGAAAATAATAATTAAATTGAAATGTTGAAAATAATTTTGAAGAAGTTGCAGTAACAAAGTTCTTATAATGTGAAATAATGATTTTTTCAATTTGCCATCTTTAATTATTATAAAACACATGATATGAAGAAAGCGAGTCGAATACTTGGAGTGATCGATATCTTTATGTTTTGTAGTTATGAAAAATTGAATTTATAGTTTTAAGTAAAATATTCTCTTATTTGACTCGGTCCGTAATTTTTTATTTTTGGTCCTTAAAGTCCGTATTTTTAAATAATTTCACGGGTTCTAGCCTTGTGTTGTATGGGTTTGTGATAAATAAAAATGAAATCTAAATTATTCATTTTCAATCACTCAATTATAATTTGACTGCAACCTACAAAATATTTATAGTTAAATGAAACTTAACAGTAAAAACAAAGTCTGAAGCCATATTTACATCAAAGCTGTAATTCAATCAAAAATGGATTTAATGTAAACGGTTTTAGTCAAAAGTGCGGACTGAAAGTAAGATTTATTTTTTACAGTATTGAAATAATTTTTTCAATGTTTCATGCAAAAGTTGACTATTCAACCAGATATGAACAAGATCTTTGAGATATATAATATATAGAAAAATTTATAAATTCTTCACATTCTAATGTATAATATAATAATTTTTGATGGGGAAAACATTCAAAATTCAATTCATATGCCTTGAAAGAGATAATCTAAAGAATGAACACTTGATCATAGTTTAGTGTTAGGATGAAACCGAAAGTTATTTTTGGCTTCCCGCTTTTAAAGGACGAATTGTTATACTAAGCATAAAATGACTTAATGAATATAAACATGCAACGCAACATGCAAATAATATAGCATTACATTGATAAACATATTAGCGTTGTATGGCACACAACGAAGACGAAGGGGTGATAGCGCTCGTGTTACCGTATAAAACACGTGCCTGCCACACGACCGCACTTACGATCTGCCGGTTGACGGACTTGTTCTGAACATCACCCTCATCCTTCCTTGTGTCTTAGTCTCAAAGCACGTGCTGTGGTTAACCCAGTGCCTTTTTCACAAGGTTTATTAAGTCACCGGGGCAAG